TCAGCTTTCTAACTGTGTCTCTTTGTCTATACCCAAATTTGATGAAGAATCAAAGGATTCATTATATTAAAGAAAATTAATGAAAATTGAAGCAATTAGATGCAATTAGATGCAATGCTTCTAAAAAAGCAGTTTCTTTTAATTGGATGCGTTTTGCTGTCATCATCCCTCTTTTGATGAATCATATCAAGGCACCTAATAAATAAATGATCTTAATTTTTTTATCTAAACCTTATAATTCAGTTAATAGGGCAAAGTTATACAAAATCACCATTAGAAGAAAATGGATGGAAAAATCAACTCTTTGATGACTTTATATGATGAAAATTATTTCTGGGATCCTTGAAAATAAGCAAAAATTTATCTTAAAAATGGAGTACATTAAAGATCTTTACAACTTAACAATAAAAATCAAAATGTTATGGTTTTAGATTAATTAAAATCTAAAAATTACTATTTGTTAAATAAGTAATTGATACTGATGTCAAGATTTTAGTGAAGAAGGAGATCTAATTGCAGAACAATTTCTTCACAATACAGCATAGGACTGGTTAAGGACAGGTTTCTCTAGTTATGAAATATGTAAGGATTACTGTATTGTCTTACTTATTTAAAAAGAGAAAGGTAAGCTTTTGAGGGACAATGTATTTCACAATATTAATTTTTCTTACGATATTCATAAACTTATATACTGTATTATTGCTAGTTATTATTAGAGCGCTTTTCTTTAACTATTTGATAAAATTTTCATCATCATAATTAATTGAATCAGTTTTTAATGGATAAAAGTGAAAAAAAAAAGATTTAACAATGTAATTTCCTTTTTTTCTTATATTTTACCACTATTATTTTTATGTCAAATAATTCAGCTTGGCAAGCAAATAATCATAATTTCTATAAAAATAAAAATAAGGGAAATTTCAATGATAAAAGAGATAGATTAATAAATTAATATAATTATACTAATAAGTAAAATAATTGTCTTATTTGTTCAATTTAAATCAAAATTACTCTGATTTCAAAACTAAAAAATAAAATTCATATCTTGTTTTTTTTTAAAATTTTAACTTATTTTCATTTTGAAAATGAGTTGTTTATCACTTGCATTTTTTAAAGTTCCTGCTAGATTTAAAAATTTCTACCTTCTTCGGAAAACATTCAAATAACGCAGAATTTGTTTATGAATAAAAATTGTAAATATCATTTTAAAATCAAGAACACACAATTGTTTGAAATCAAAGTAGGTTATAATAGAAAAAAATAATTATTATTAGAAATTTGATATGTTTTTAATAAAAATCAATTTTTCTGTTATTCGAAATTACTTTCCAAAAAATAACTCCCTTTAGATTTTAATAACCCCCTTAAATCTTAGCCTTAATGATTTAGAAATTCTCCATTAAGAATGAGAGCACCTTTTGCTTGAAATATTGCAGATTGAGAAATAAAGAGATTATTCGTATATGAAGTAACTAAAAATAACTTTATAAATAATACCTTCGGCAAATGGATTAGTTTTAAATTATGCTAATTGATCTTTATATTTTTAATCTGTAGGTTAAATCTATTATCCTGTCTTAACATTCCATAAACGGATTGAATTATCATCACTTCCTGATGCTAAAGTAGTGCCATCTGGTGAGAAGCATACTGTATAGATCCAATCATTATGACCATCTAATTAAGCCTTTTACTATCCTGTCATAATATCCCATAACCGGATTGAGTAATCAGCACTACCAGAGGCTAAAGTAGTTCCATCTGATGAAAAGCAAATGGAATAGGCAGTGCCAGTATGACCACATAATTTGGCTTTTTATTATCCTGTCTTAACACTCCATAAACGGATTGAGTTATCGCTACTACCAGATGCTAAAGTAGTTCCATCTTTTGAGAAGCATACCGAATAGACCCAATCACTATGACCATCTAATTAAGCTTTTTATTATCCTGTCTAAATATTCCATAAACGGATTG